AGGGAGGCCTGGCTGACTCCTCTTCCTCATGCTCGGAGCTTTCTTCCTCCGATGGGACAGGCTCAGAGGGCGGGGCCACAACAGGCAGCCCCAAAAAGGTTGGGGGCCTTGTATGGTGCAGAAGCTAACTTCCATCTGGCTTTGGCATCAGCTTTCCAGTCGCAGAGCCAGAACAGATATCGCGATGTGATCATGGAGGCCAATGCGCGTGAGGCAAATTTGACAGAGTTCAACGAGGCGTCCGCTGAGTATTCAGTGGCGGCCACTATCTTGTTAATATCTTGATGCAACCTCGTTTCCTCTGGGGGAAGTCGCTCTTGTAATTGCCTCAGCCAGATAAGTGAGGCCCTATTAAAGAAGGACGTAGCGGTCGCTGTTCTGATGGCCCAGGACGTAGCTTGGTGTGCCTTCCGGAATGCAAGCTCGGCTCTCCTGTCGTGCACTTTGAGTCCATCCAAAGAGTCAGTGGACAGGACCGAAGTAGAGGATAGGTTCGCGACCGGGGCGTCCACCACTGGTAGCGTTAACATGTCCTCCAACTCAGGGGCTGCGCAATACAGTCTCTTGTCCTGGCTGCTGGGCGCTGTCAACGAGCCAGGTTGGGTCCACGGATTCTGTATCACCTCCGAAAACAGCTGGGGACAGGGAATACAGTCCTTGTCCGGCTTGGTCAGTTTAAACAAGGAGTCATGAGGACCCAACGCCGATTGCGCTGCACTGAGGTGTGAATCCCCCGTCCCGAGGTTTGTTGTCATCCTGGCTTTATGCAAAAGCGACTTGAAGAGGAACGGTCTGAAAAGCCCAGTAAAGGCAGGGGTATCCGGCAACAAGCCCTTGTCCTCCGAGAATTCAATGTCTTCAGGGCAGTCCTCCTCTTGATCGGAATCATCCAAGGAAGTGGACTCTTTGTGGGATGGAGAGTGGGATCTTGCAGGAAGCTGACCCTGTGATAGGGGCTGGACCAGTACAGCTGTGCTAGGTAGTTGGGTTGCCTGCTGAATACCCGCCAACGAAGATGATAGGGCAGTAGACAACATTGCTTGTAGGTCCAGTTGGCTCCCTTGCAGGTGACCCGCTGCGTCGCGGAGCCCCGCAGCGGTAGGGGTTAACGTAGCCTCTGGCTGTTTCTGTTGGGGAGCTGCTGATGGCGCCAACCCCACTGCCGAGACGTTCGGCATGGAAAAGGACACCCCACGTGAGCGAGCCAGAGACTGGTCAGAACCCCCAAATGAGTGTGCCAGCGTACTGGGCCATTGAGTATGGGTTACGAGGGGCGTGATATCAATCCCCGCACCAAAGGGGCTTGCTGCAATGGCTGCGCCTCTAGGCCTAGAGACGAAGAAGCAGCCTGCTTGGCCTTCTTAAATTGGCGCTCTAAAGCGTTATAGCGACGCAGTGCGTCTTTATCAGAGGCAACTGAGGCCTTAGGCTGAGGTATGGGTCGGCTGGAAGAGGTCGACCAAGTCTTTGCCTTGGCCTTGGTTTTGGGGGGTCTGGGAGGGCTAGGTTCATGCTCCAGATCAGATGATAAGGAGGAGTCAGCCATGAGTCCAAGGTAAGTCAGTCACGCAATGGAGCAATGAGATAAAGGCCCAGATGGGACTGTGTAACCAATAAGAAACCAATCCCTCCCAGGAGCACAAACCTCCTACTGTGCTGAGTCACAGTAGTGTAGAAACTGTGTCCAGAGGCCAGGCTTGAATGAATATCCCCCACTAGCACTGGCCCAAAAGGGCCAAAGGCGTGGCTTCGCTGGCTCCGCTTGTTCCGGAGGTCTGACAGTGCAGGAGCCTTTAAATGGCAGCGGCAAGGGCAAGACAAAATGGCGACCGCCCAATCTCAAAATGGCGGCCGCTCTGGTAACAAAATGGCGGCTGCCCTGTCCCAAAATGGCAGCCGCGCCAGTAACAAAATGGTGGTCGCCCTGACCCAAAATGGCGGCCACGCCAGGAGCCCGAGATGGAAGCCGCTCGTTCCAAAATGGCAGCCGCGCGGGCAAAGCAAGATGGCGGTCATAATAACAGTGACTGGCAACAACCGCGGCCTTTCCGATCGCTCTGACTCCCACGCCAGGCAATCGGCTGTCGAGTGCAGTGAAGCTGTATAAACTTCAGAGTGTGCTCGGAACCTGAGCAGGAACTCCGGAGCCGCCACTAAGGAGAGCTGATTAAAGTAAGTGGTGTGGGAGGGCCAGCCAGCTGACCTGCGGCCCAACATCAACACCGGCAGCTGAAATGCCAATCCCGGGACCGCCCCGAAGGGACAGTATCCGGATGCTGCTAAATATAATGAAAGGAGAGGCTCAGGCCGGCCTGGAGCCCCAGACGCGGCACACGCACCTCAGCAGCTGGCTGCAATGAGTCCAATCCACAGCTCTCTCCCGAAGGTAAAAGAAATAATCAAAAATAAATAAATTCAGCTAACGAGCCTACAAAAATAGCAGGGTAAAAGCCGAGCACGAAGAAACCACCCAGTCTGTCAGCGACTGAGAGAAAAAGACTGAAGTGCAAGGTGACAGGAGGGCGTGGTTATAGCACGAAGGAACAGAGTTTTTTTCTCTCTGTTGTTGTCAAGATATGGAGAAAGGAACCCGGTTATGGATTGTGGGACCAGCACACTGGAAAAGAATCCCACAATTGGAACATATGCTAGAAGGATATAAACTATTCAAAAGAAACATGCCTCCCAGAAGAGGAGGAAGTGTTGCATTGCATTTTATGTAAGGAATACACCTCTACAGAATGACATAACACCATGGATGAAAGCCTTCTTAAACGCATTTGGGTGAATATGAGAGGAAAAAGAAAAATAGATGAATTTTTTGCTAATCACTTAGCAAAATTAATATCTGGGAAAAGCCTAAAAAAGATATTCAAGCAGATTTGTGAGCACCTAAAATGAACTAATCAATCGCTAGAAGCCAGCATGAGTTTGTTAAAAAGAGATCATGCCAGACAAACTTTATTCCCTTCTCTGATAAACTGACTAAATTAGCATATCAAAGTAATGTTTTGGATATAGTATACTTGGACATCAATAATAATAATAATAATAATAATAATAATAATAATAATAATAATAATAATAATAATAATAATTTTATTTCTATACCGCCCTTCTCCCGAAGGACAGCCAATTTAAAAACACAAGACACAACAATAATTAAAAATTAAAATAATTAAATAGATTTGGCCGATTTAAAACCATTTGACCATAAGACATTTGACAAAGTAGACTGCAGCCCATTTCTTGGTGTGATAGAACAATGTGTGATAGTACCACTACTAGATGGATTTGCAGTTGGCTGACAAACTGCACTCAGTGTAGTCCTTAATGGAATTACATCTACGTGGAGGGAAGCACGCAGTGAGGTACCTCAACATTTTGTCTTGGGCTAATGCTCTTCAACATTTTCATAAATGATCTAGATGATGGGATAGAAGGAGAACTCATCAAATTTGCAGATTAAAACAAACTACAGGGAGTAACAGCTTGGAAGACAAAGTTATAATTCAGAACGATTTTGACAGAATTGAGCATTGAGTCCTATCCAACAAGATACAGTTCAGTGGTGAGAAAAGTAAGATCCTGCACTTAGGCAGGAAAAACTAAATGCATAGGTATAGAACAGGCAGTACTTGGCTAAACAGAGTAGTAACTGTGAAAGGGATCTTTGTGTCCTAGTGGACCATTAGTTACATATGAGCTAACAGTGTGTTCAGCTGCCAAAAAAGTCAATGCAATCCTAGGCTGCATCAGAGGGAACAGAAGGATCAAGATAAAGAGAAGTGCCTCCACACTTGGAATACACATCCAGTTCTGGTCACCATGATACAAAAAAGGCGCTGAGACCCTAGAAAGGATGTAGAGAAGAGCAAATAGATGATAAGAGATCTAGAAACTAGCCATATGATGAATTCTTAAGGGAACTAGATATGTCTAGCCTAACAAGAGGATTACATAATAGCTATCTTCTGGTACTTGAGGGGCTTTCATAGGGAGGAGGATGGAAAAAATTTGAATGTCACCACTGGGATGGATGGAAGTTTGTTAAAGAGAGATCCAATCTGGAACAAAGAAAAAATTTCTTGACAGTAAGAATAATTAATCAATGGAATAGCTTGCCACCTGGAGTTGTGAGAGGAATATCGCAGGAGGTCTTTAAAAAAAATTGGACAGCCATTTATCCAGGATGCAGAAAGTCTCCAACTTTGGGAAGGGAGCTGGACTAAAAGATCTCCAAGAAACTTTCCAGCCCTATAATTCTATGACTCTGATGTCACCGGGTGTGTGTCTTAAATCTAAGTATTTCATCTCCCATTAAACTCACCAGCTCTTCCTTCAGCAAGTAAAGTATATGTGGCTTTCCCACATAATGTTAAATTATCAAAATGTTTAGCATATGTTGCCATTTGATAAGTTCTGGATAAAAGATGAGTGCTTGATTAGCATCATAATCTTAGCATAGTCAGTGTTTTACTGTGGCAGGAACAGTGGTGGGTTACAACCGGTGTTACCACCAGTTTACTTTGCACACACGCATGCCAAACTTGCGCTCTGCACAAGCGCATTACATTTCCGAACAGCTGAGGTGCAGCAATTCGCTCTGCACGCCTATCAGCTGGGCTAAAAATGAACGAATATAGGTAGGTATAGCGCAGGGGTGGGTGGGAAGGCCCAGCTGATGGTCAGAGCGAACTGGTTCGCTCTCACCTCACCATCGCCACTACCGACTCGCCCGAACTGAGGCAAACCGGTAGCAACCCACCATTTGGCACTTTCCCTTTCCTTGTCTATATGCAGAAGCAAACTCTGCCACCCATCCTGAAAGCCACCTTTTACTTCTTCATCTTTTATTTTCTTCAGGACAAAGCAATGAGAAAAAGCAATAGGAGAGCTATAGCTGATCAGTGTTATTTTCTTAATTATCAATATTTACCAAGATCAAAGAATATAAAGGAGCCAGAAGAAAAAATGTCTTCCCAATAGCATATCTATACCTGATATAAGGTTTCAAAACACGAGAAGTATAGGGACTGATAATGCTATGATCAGTTGTATCTTCAGACCCTACAAGTCGGCACCAAAATGTTGTAGTTCTATGTTGAAACTCTTTCGCAGCAGAAACCTTAGTCTGTAAAACAAAATTAAGAAATAACTGAGTTACAGAAGTAATCAGGAAATAAATTCAGTGATATGGCCAGTACCAATGATTAATCAAATATGGCAGATGCATGATGACATCTAATGTTAAGCAGAACAAAGAGAATTTTAATATACAGAGATTATATAGGTATCCAAAATAGCAAGAAGTTGCATGCATCCTAGAGAAACCAACTACTGAATAAGTGGTCTTATGCATTTAAAATCAAATTGCTTATCTTACTTTGATGCCCAATATTGCGCATAATAAAAAGATAAGTAAAAAATTCTGAATTTGTGACACTGCAGACAAGAAAACTATCAGCAGCAAATTAGAAATATATTTACTGTTTGTATTTTTATATATTTATTGCACAAAATTTATTCTCAGTCTGTGTTTCCCACCTTTCTACATGAAACAGAAACATTTCTACATGTGACTGGAAAAGATTTCACAATGACTGGAAAGAGGATGGCAATCTACGAAATATTACAAATTTGGAATATCTACACATTCTTCCTTTATCAGAAAAATAGGCAGTCACATTCCAATTTACATCAACATTTGAAAAGAGAATCATGAAATCCCTGCCATCCTAAAAAAAATCCTAGAAATAGAGAGGGTATTAAAATAAACACAAATAGTTGCCAAAATTCCCATAACACCCATTTTTTTCTTTTTTTGATTAGTATTATTCTGTGAGAATCTAGCTTTCTTGCTAGAAACCAAGTTTGCCTCCATCTGCTTTGATTTGTAGCTTTGAAGATTATGAAACTGTGGTTCAAATTATCTAGAGCAGCGGTTCTCAACCTGGGAGTCGTGACCCCTTTGGGGGTCGAACGGCCATTTCACAGGGGTTGCCAAAGCCCTCTCTCGCCCCCCCCACGCCTTCACTCACCCTCACTCTCTGCTCTGTTGGATCGCCGGCCGTTCGCTTACCCCGCCCACTCCCAATCTATTGCTGCCTCCTGAGTCCCAGCTGATGGCTAGAGGAAAAAAAAACTGTTTAAATTCTTGCCGCGGGGCTTCAAAGGGCCACCCTATAGCCAGTGGTGGGATTCTGCCGGTTCTAGGGGGTTCAGCCGAACCATTTGTTAAATTGCTGGCCTGCCCCAACCCTCCGCACCACTATTTATTGCCAATAAATAGTGGTGGGCGAGGGGCGGGCGAGCCAGCAATTTAACAAAGGGTTTGGTGTTTTTTTGTAATTTTATTGGCCCGCGGAGCTTCAGCATAGGTTAATTAGCCCTTGATTAGATCGGCTCCCAACTCTCAGCTGATTTGGTCTCAGCTGTTTTGCGGAGGGCTCTGCTGCTTCCTTGCAAAAAGTCCTGGAGCAGATTTTTTTTCCCCCTAGCTATGCTGAAAAACGAAACCGAAACTAAAGCAGGCTGTTGGCTTTGCTGTTGCTGCAACGTTGAAAAATTAGCCAGGCAGATTTCTTTTCTTTTTCCTCACCAAAAAAGGTAGGTGCAAACAATGGGAAATTTAGGGAAAAAGAGGAGAGTTCAAGATTTTAAAACACAAAAGAAAGAAAGCTCTATTTAACTAGGGAATTGTAATAATTGAGATACTATTAATTGTATATTGTGTTGAAAGCAGAAATGGTTAAGTTGTGGTTTGGAGGAATATATGGGAGAAATTATTTGGTTTATTATTATTGGTAAATATAATTAATTGATTTGTAAGAAATTGGATTGCATGGGAATAATTGGAATATTCATGTTCATATTGATTAATATATAAAAAGGTAGTTATATAACTAATTGATTTATATTAAAATGTTGAATTTATATTAAACAACTGTAATATTACATAATTAACCAATGTGAGGATGGATATAAAAATAGATGACAATGGGAAGGGGTATAATATAGAATAGAAAGGAAAAATTGAATTTGATTAAGATTAGAGATGAGGATGAAGGTTAATATTGGTTTTTTACAAAAATAGATGAGGAATAAATATGGCAAAAAGGAAATATAGAAATTGTAAATTTAATTGAAATGACTAAACACTGTTTAAATTTGTGAACCGGCCAAATACTCTGTTCAAAGAAAATACATTGTATGTTTGTATGTGTGTTTCTAATTATTGTTATTTATTCATATTTGTTCTCTTTTATTCTTTAAAGTTTAACCATTCATTCTTTATCTTAATATCTTTATATTTGTTTGGGGTTGGCTTTCTTCCCTTTCATCTTTTTTATTGTGCAGCAATCTTTCTCCTCAAACCTACCACCTCTCTCTTTTCTTTCCTTCTTACTTTCTCTTCCTCCCCCTCTTCTTCTCCTCCCTACTTCCTCTTCCTTTCTCCTTCTCCTCCTCTCTTCCTCCCTCTCTTACCCTCACTCCTACTCTAATTTCCCTTCCCTTCCTTCATCCCTCTCTATTGCTGTATCTTTTTATGCATATGGACTACTCAGAGGGCTGAAAAAGTTATTTCTGACTGGTCCTCGCACTTTTGACCAGTCCTCGAACTTACGACTGTCCTCACATTTTACGTTTTTGCCCTATCTTGTCACCATGGTGAAGAGAAGCAGTTGTGAAATGAGTGACATGGTTGTTAAGAATGCTACAATGGGCATAAATGATGACCAGTCATAAGTGCGAAGACCGGTCAAAAGTGCGAGGACCTGTCAGAAATGACTTTTTTCAGCCCTCTGGGTAATCCTTTTGTGCACATGGACTACTCAGAGGGCTGAAAAAGTTATTTTTGACTGGTCCTCGCACTTTTGACAAGATCTCGAATTTACGACTATCCTCACATTTTACATTTTTTGCCTTATCTTATCACCATGGTGAAAAGAAGCAGTTGTGAAATGAGTGACATGGCTGTTAAGAATGCTGCACGGGCATAAATGTGAGGATGGTCATAAGTGTAAGGACCGGTCAAAAGTGCGAGGACCTGTCAGAAATGACTTTTTTCAGCCCTCTGAGTAGTCCCTATACACATAGCCATGGCCAACTGGTCACATGACCAGCTAGCCACGCCTACCCAGTCACATGACCTCCAAGCCATGCCCACAAAATAAGCCACGCCCACAGAACCGGTAGTAAAAAAATTTAGAACCCACCCCTGGTTGGGGGTCACCACAACATGAGGAACTGTATTAAAGGGTCGCGGCATTAGGAAGGTTGAGAACCACTGATCTAGAGGATGCCAGTGTGCTCATCCCTAACCCAAGTTCCTCCTGTGAGTAAGAAGTTATTTTCTCTGATTTTGTTCTTGCTTTCCGAAAGTAAAGGACCATCTTTCTCTTTTGCTCTGCAACCTTTTCTCTTCCAAAGCTGTACTTTGATTTCCTTCTCATTCCTCAGAAATGCTTCTGCCAATGACTACCATAGCCTCAATATATTTTACATTACTATAGTCTGAAGCAAGCTTGGGAGCTTTAGTATTGAACAACAAATCATTTTGGCATTAACAGGTAGTTTTCAACTTACAACCATTCATTTAGTGACCGAAGTTATAATGGCACTGAAAAAAGTGACTTATGACTACTTTTCGCACTTATGACCATTGCAGCATCCCCATCGTCATGTGATCAAAATGCATATGCTTGACAACTGGCATGTATTTATGAACATGTGATCACCTTTTGCAACTTTCTGACAAGCAAAGTCAATGAGGAAAGCCATTGTTAGTAATAACCAAGTTACTAACTTGACAACTGCAGTGATTCAGTTAATAACTGTGATAAGAAACATTGTAAAATGAGCAAAACACATCTAATAACTGTCTTGCTGAGCAATTGAAATTTGGGGCTCAATTGTGGTCATAAATTGAGGATAGCAAAAGGATAGCAGAAACTTATAATAATATTGTATCAGCATAAACCATGGGGTCATCAGAATTTGTTTCACAATGTTTCAGTTATTTCTTAAATTAAGGAATAGCAATATTAAATCCACTCGGACTAGAATACATAAATATAAAACACATGAAAAGTTGTAATTTTCAAAAACACCCAATAATGGCTACTTCCTTAAAAGGTTGGAACAATCATCATGATAGCATCATCGGCTCATTGAGTTAGGGATATAATTCTCGCTTTGGGTGCAAGAAGTTCGGGATTCAAAGCCCTTGGACACTAAGCTTCCTGGAAGCTTTGGGAGCAAACAGGTAATAACACTGGTGGAATTCAACCAGTTCGCAGTTTTGGGAGAACTGTTTTGTTAACTCTTTGTGGAGTTCTGCAAACCGGCTGAATAGTCAAGGCTGCCTGTCTGCCTGCCTGCCTAAAGATTCCACTAGCTCACACACCTCTCAGACATTCCTGCTAATTTGTAATTAACCAAAGGAAGGGAAAAGAAAAAGAAGAAATAACCACATAGCCATTTCCTCAACAGAAAAATTCTAGGTCTTTTAAAATTAAGGCTTAAAGTGCAAGAGAGCTTTCTCCCCCACTTCTCTCTCCCTTCAGTTAATAGCTCTGGCCCAGGCAGACAGCCAAGAACCATTTAACAGGCGAATACTTAGTTGCAATAACAAAACCGCAGGAATGCAGTGGCCCAGAAACAATAGAAAGTTATAGATCATACAGATTAACAGAGTTGGAAGAGACCTTGTAGGTCATGTAGTCCAACCCCCCGCCCAAGCAGGAAACCCTACATCATTTCTGACAAATGGTAGTCCAATCTCTTCGTGAAAGCCTCCAGTGATGAAGCTCCCATAACTTCCGAAGGTAAGCTGTTCCATTGGTTGATTGTTCTCACTGTCAGAAAATTCCTCATTTCTAGGTTGAATCTCTCCTTGTTCTTGACAGGATTAGGCCAGGGAAGGAGTTTTAAAAATGTTAATACAGAGCAGGAGTTTCTTGTCAGAGTTCTTATGGCTTTTTAAATACATGTTCTAATTAGCAGAATTGATTTTATTAATTTGGAATAGGGTTGCAATGCTGTTTCTGTGTTTATGTATTTTGATCCTGCATTTTCAGCATTTAAGAGTTAGCTTACAGTATTAGACTGTAAAGATTTCAAATTATCTTGTAACTGTGTTGCTTGTGTGTGATGGAGCACCCACAACTTCTGAAGGCAAGCTTTTCCATTGGTGCTTTGGAAAATAGTTTGACCTCCTCGTTTTTGTAGGAGCCCCTCAAATTTCCTGACAGAACAATTAATCAGTGGAACAACTTGTCTCCAGAAGTTGTAAATGCTCCAACACTGGAAGTTTTAAAGCAGAGATTGGATTACCATTTGTCTGAAGTGGTGTAGGGTTTCCTGCCTAAGCAGGGGGTTGGGCTGGATGACTGAGAATCTCTACCCTGTTTCCCCCAAAATAAGACATCCCCTGATAATAAGCCCAATCGGGCTTTTGAGCGCATGGCAATAAGGCCAAGTGCTTATTTCAGGGTTCAAAAAAATACAAGACAGGGTCTTATTTTCGGGAAAACACAGTACAGACTTTTTGCTGTTGCCATTATTAACACATCTCAGCTTGCCAACAAATTATGAGGGGAGGGAGCGGGAGATAGAACATGGCCCAGATATCAAGAGATCTGCATGAGGACACCAGCAGGTGTTTACAAAAGCCTGATTTTCCCACAACAATATCCAGAGAATGTACTAGACAATGTGACCTGAGCTAATTGGGGGGGTGGAAGAATGTGAACTTTAACTATGGGGATTAGCACGGGAAAGATCTAGATCTTCTTTTTGCCTTCAACTGTGCTGAAGTGATGTACTCAATAAAATTTTGCATGAAGAGTGTTGGATCATCTCGGTGGTGATTGCTTCGGCTGGGTTCGTCAGTCAGAACCTTGATATTAAACCAGGTTAAACCAGCCGAAAGTTGGGATCTAAGTATGTGGGGCCCTTCCCTATTGTGAGGGTGATCAACTCTGTTATGGTAGAGTTAAAGCTGCCCAAGATATTGGGGAAAGGGCACCCAGTTTTCCATTGCAGTTTGTTGAAGCCAGTCCAGGGCTCTAACTTAAGGCCTGTAGGAAAAGAAGCCCCTGGACCAACTATGATGGGAGGAGAGAAACATTACAAAGTAAAACGGATCCTGGATTCCAGATATTAGAAAGGGAAATTGCAATACCTAGTGTAGTGGAAGGGGTCCATTTGACATTTGGAGTCCTAGTAGACAAACACTTAAATAACAGGCAGCAAAGTGCTGCGAAAAAACCAATGCAATCCTAGGCTGCATTAAGATCAGGATCATGTGAAGTGTACTGCTTTATAATCTATATATATAAAAACGCGAAAACCACTCATGCTGTAATCACGAAATCTCCAGAACCGTAAAGCCTAGGATAGGATAGGAGAGGCCTCTTCTGTGTGGCAAGCCTGGGGGAGAGAAGGGGATAGGATAGGGGAGGCTTCTGTGGGGCAAGGCTGAGGGAGAGAAGGGGGCAGGATAGGAGAGGCCTCTGTGTGGCAAGCCTGGGGGAGAGAAGGGGATAGGATAGGGGAGGCTTCTGTGGGGCAAGGCTGAGGGAGAGAAGGGGGCAGGATAGGAGAGGCCTCTGTGTGGCAAGCCTGGGGGAGAGAAGGGGATAGGATAGGGGAGGCTTCTGTAGGGTAAGGCTGAGAGAGAGAAGGGTATAGGCTAGGCTTCTGTGGGGAAAGGCTGAGGGAGAGAAGGGGATAGGATAGGAGCCGTTTCTGTGGGGCAAGGCTGAGGGAGAGAAGGGAAGAGGAGAAGCCGATCGTAACTACTCATTAATTTTCAAGCTGTAAGTGTTGATTTATCAAGCCCGATCACAGTTTCATAGCAAAGCATGGGTATCCAGCTAGTGTCTTGATACGACCACACTTGGAATATTGCATCCAGTTTTGGTCATATAAAAAAGATGTTGAGGCTCTGGAAAGAGTGCAGAGAAGAGCAACAAAGATGATAAAGCGGCTGGAGGCTAAAACATATGAACAAAGATTGCAGGAATTGGGTATTTCTAGTCTAGTGAAAAGAAGGACCAGGGTGACATGATAGCAGTGGTTCAATATTTGCCACAAAGAAATGGGGGGGGGGGTGTCAATCAATTTTCCAAAGCACCAGAAGGCAGAACAAGTAATGGATGGAAAGTAATCAAGGAGAGAACCAACTTAGAACTAAATTAATTCCCTGATAATGAGAATTAACCAGTGGAACCGCTTGCCTTCAAGAAGTTGTGGGTGCTACATCACTGGAGATTTTTAAGAAGAGATCAGACAGCCATTTGTCCAGAATGGTATAGGGCAGTGGTGGCAAACCTTTTACTCACCGAGTGCCAAACAGGTCTGTGTTTTGCGCGCTGTGCGTGCATGTGTGCCATCATGCTAACGCAGGGCTCCTCCCCCATGCGCTGTGCGCATAACTGCACCATCTACACATGCGCACAGCTTTTGCACACCCACCCATGCGCTGCACGCACACTATTTGCACATGCGCACAGCTTTCGCGCGTGTGCCCCATGCTCTGCATGCACAATCACACCATCTGCGCATGCATGTGGTTTTTGCATGCTCAATGCACATGCATGAATGCCGTCTGCGCAACCATGCGCTGTGCACCAGTACTCCAGGGTGCGTGCACAAATGCGCATGCATGCGCAGAGCTCCAAGGACCAGCTGAGTCCCCTGAATTGTGCGCATTCGTACTGGAGGCCCAAACACTAGCTGGGGGGTGTGTGCATGCGCAGCTGCAGGTGAGTTGGGGAACAGCTCGCGTGCCCAGAAAAATGGCTCTGTATGCCATTTCCGGCACTCGTGCCATAGGTTCGCCATCACAGGCACCTGCTTGTGCAGGTGGTTGGATTAGAAGACCTTCAAAGTCCCTTCCAACTTTATTATTGTTGTTAAGCATTATTGCTCCATCCTTTTTACAGGGATGTAACAACAGATTATAATTTATTATTTGTCCCTTCAAGTCAGTCTTGTTTCTTGCCATAGAGTTCACAATGTTTTCTTGCCAATATTTTTTTCTGAAATGGTTAGTCCTTACTAGGTCTGTGATAGTGATTGGCCCAGTCTCATTCAAATGGTTCTGTGCCTAAGATGGCACCAAATTCACCAACTCTCAGTTTGTAAGACAGTGCCGTTAACCATGGCACCAAATTGTCTCCAAATGGATTCTCATACATATTGAATTATAGAGAATAACTTAAAAAAAGACAGAGATTTTGAGCCAATTGCTCTTTCTCAACCCAAGCTACTTCATAGGTTGTTGTTATGAAACAGGGAGATTTCAAAAGGAATCACTGTAAGTTCCTAAGGAAAAAATAAGATATATTTTATGATAATGATAGTGATAATAACAACAGAAAAACAGGAACCTGATATCGATCCAAGATTCGGAAAGCCTGGCAAGAAGTTTTGTATACTGCATAATCTGATGGCAGATAGGCAGCATGTCTTTCCTTAGTTCCATAAAACTGATCAACCAAGATAAGAGCAGAATTCACAATATCGTCCAAGTTAAAAAGGGGAAGACCTCTCTCTCGTTTCATCTTTCGGACTATCAGCTTGCGCCTCAGTCTCCGAGCCTCAGGAGTCATGTCTGCTGCATTTAGACAGGCCTCCAAGTTCCTCAAAAGAAGTTTTTCTTCATAGATACCAATAGCAGTATATTTAGATTGCGAATCCTTATGAGCTTGCTGGGTCTTCCGCTTGTTTAAACCTTGGTCTTGAAGGAAGGCATGTGTACTACTATGATTTTCCACAACATTGACTAGCCTCTCTGCTCTTCCTTCTTCACACATCAGCTCTTGTTTAATCTGATCAGACAGCTTCATTTTCTTTTGGATCATTGTCCCTGATGCACCGGATGGAGGGATATATTCTATTCCTGGGTCTATCATACCTTCCATCTCTTCATCATCTATAAACAAAACAAAATGCCTCAGAAACACTGTAATATTGTAACCAAATATTTTTCCTGCAGATAGTAAATGTTGATACCTAGGAAATTCTGAAAATATGTCAACTTTGATTTTTTTGCCTTACAAAATCAATATCCCAATTTTTACAAAACAACAGAAAACTAAAATACAGTCCTCAACTTACTACAGTTCATTTAGTGACCATTTGAAGTTACAATGGCACTGAAAAAGTGACTTATGACCATTTTTCACAGAACCATCGCGGCATGCCCATGATCACATGATCAAAATTTAGACAGTTGGCAACTGACTCACCTTTTTGATGGTTGCAGTGTCCCAAGATCATGTGACCTTCTGACAAGCAAAGTCAATGGGGAAGCGAGATTCACTTAACAATCCTCTGACTAACTTAACAACTGGAGTTATTTACCTAACAGCAGTGGCAAGAAAAGTCACAAAATCAGGCAAAACTTACTTAACAACTGTCTCACTTAGCAACATGAATTTGGGGCTCAATTGTGTCGTTAGTCAATGATTACCTGTACAAGTTTCTGTAAATCAGTAATATTTATATTGGTTGAAAAATTAAACAACCCTACAACTAAGGATAGTTTTATTCAAATCTGATTATTACAAATGTACGCATGAGAGAAAGTGAGAAAGAGGTGTGCCATATCAACCTAGTCTTGATGATAATCTGTAGTGTTTCCAAGGGTACTCCAATGTACATCTATTTTAATTGCTACCCATACTATTTTCCTCCTATCTCTCGAGTATAATAGTTTACTTTTAAGTCCTATCATGCACTCATATTAAATGATTCAGAAATGTGACTTGCTGTTTTTTATCTCAAGGGAGCAGTCAGTTTATAGTATTTGGTCCAGGACAGATAAGCTTCTTGCAGTCTTTGGTACTGTTAGTAATTATCTACAATGCCATATACAGAGACATTTATATCTTCTTTCCTTTACTCATTCCTTGTGTTCAGCTTTCAATAGCTGAACATTTTTTTCATATTAATATTAGTATGATCTGTAAGTCAGAGACATTCTTCTCCTTCATGACCGTGTCTCAGTTTATTTTCCTATCTAAACTTACTGCTCTCTTTACTTCCTGAGGACGATTCAGCTTTATGTAATTTTGAAGCCAAGAAGCAAAGCTATCCATGCCCTATCAACTTTGAGATGATTAAGCACACTAGTTAACATTTGTCTCTATTGTTTAAATATTAAATTTAAACAATTATTAAACAGTTATTACATTTAATTATGCTCTGTCCCCCTGGATGGATAGATGATAATGTCTAAATCTCATTTTAGTTCAGATAGTTTAATACCAGGGATGACTCAACAAATATCATTGATATGAGTAACACTGGTATGGTATTCCAGTAAACTCATACTGGTATGCTATTCCAGGAAAGATGCACCAGGCAAGTCGTTCCAATGATAATGGACAGACTGGCAAAGCACTTGGTCAGTCAAGTAGTTTTCCACACAGTGGGATTGCAGAGACTGAAGAATTATACAGAGTCACAAGGATCTTCATGTAATATATAGCTCTCAGGCAATACAGTAAATAAGTGAAATGGTACCAGAGGGACAGCACTAATCCTTCACCTCGGGCTTAATCCAGAGCCTAAACATTGGAGACTAAATATATTCAGGATTGTAAAGTAAGGGGCTTATCTCTCATTCATCAACCTGAGGAAGGCCATAAAAGTCTACTAATAAGTGTCTTATTTTAAGATTTATTCCATCAAATAACAGACATATGAAGTATTATCACATCAACATTCTTGCTTGGTAGGCAAGAAACCACCAGGCGGCCATTGTCAGGTTCAGTCAGATTTTAGCACTGTTTGCTCAGAAAGAGGGTGAATTCTTCCTTTATACCCTTCTGCTAGTATGTATGTATGTATGTATGTATGTATGTATGTATGTATGTATGTATTATTTATTTATTTATTTTATTTTATTTTATTTTATTTTATTTTATTTTATTTTATTTTATTTTATTTTATTTTATTTTATTTATTATTTATTGGTTCGATTTATATGCCGCCCTTCTCCGGAGACTCAGGGCGGCTTACAATGCATTAAGCAATTACCTTCATACTTTTGTATATACCTGCTTAGTAGGGCTTTCGCCCCCCCCCCCAAAGCGGTGTTCTTTTTTATACAGTATGTACTACACTGTTTTAAAATTAAGTGAAACCTAAAGAACATTTTTAAAAGCTCTATCAAAATGGGATGAAGATAGCCAGGCAGATATACAGTAGAATCTCTGGTCATGAACGCTTCTGACCACGACCAAATCAGGTTCCAACCAAAAAATTCACAATTTTTTTCCCGCGGCCAATTTCCCCTTCTGCGCCATTTTTTTTGTAAGCACCAAATTTCCAAAATTAGATTTGGGTCACGACCAAATCGGGTTGCGACCAAAGTTATGGAACAAATTATGGTCGTGACCAGAGGTTCTACTGTATTCAGCAGTGAAATTCTACCAGCACTGAAGATAGTCCTCCATAGCAGCATCTAAATTCAGAATGGCTCTTTATTGAGCCTTTTGATATTTCAATGCCTGCTGTTTTGCCCAGCACTCCTAAGATCTCTCCATCCAAATAATAGCAGCAAGGGCATCTCTACTCCTTACTGCTTTACTGGCAAATTCAGTTGCAAGCCTCAAAAGAAAAGTCCAAATATAGTGCCCAGAACAACTGGAATACTTCTATGTATTATTCTGAGTTCAGAACATTCAAACCAACCATTTAAAAGTTGGTTCATTTTCCACATCTCAACAGAGAAAGTGTGCATATGCACACCTAATGAATATTATCATCAGATATCATTTTTCTTTTCTTTTATGATAGAATGTTTTAAAAATACTAATCAAATATGTAACACTGAATTTTGAAGCTCTGTCAAACCACTTATTACTAATATTATTGCTGCCCAGTCGCTTCAAAATGAGATCGGCAGCAAATAAATTTAATAATAAATAATATAAAATTACACTTCTGTCTATATGAATGTCTTTCTGGGCAAAGTATAATTATCATGTTTAACATCTTTAAATTCTTAAGATTATCAACCTATTTAGATACATTTCCAAATTGTAGGCTTTTAAAAATGATTCAATGTTTCCTTTTGTATATTAATTGTTGTTTCATTTATTTATGTGTCTTAATAAAAAAAGGAAAGAAAAAAGATGAATATTTGCTATGTTACACATTAAGTCCTTTTTTATATGGATAATTTTATTTTCTCAAGTGCTGCAATCATGAAAATTATATATTCTTTCTCCTATAACATTCTTAACAAACATTACATATCTCAGTAGTACAACCACAGTCAAAATATGTTTGTGCAAATGAATCTAGTAAAAATGATCAGATAAGGAAACTTAAAAATTGCTTTTACCATGAAAAAGGGCCTGGGGCGGCATTATGTCTGGAATAAGATCAGCTTCTGAAAGCAGACTAGGTGTAGCTGAATGTGACGCTGGAGTTCCAGGAGCAGAAAAATCCAGAGAGGGAGAAGGAGATGGGCTGGTCAAAGGTGTCTGATCAGAAGAACTGAGGGAGGAAAAGTCAACCACCTCCCCCTTTTCAAGCATAATGTCTGAATGCCTGTTTCGACTGGTGAATTTGACCGGTGTAGAGGATGTACTCCTGTCCATGAAGCCAGCTGCTTCTTTCTGAGCTCTCCTGATTTCTTTGGCTTCTTGAGTGCGAGACCGCTTCTCCTTCAGCTCCATAGCAGATTCTACTGGATTGCGGCTCACTCGTTTTCTAAGCCCCTCCACTGTAATGATTGGATCTATAGACAGTTTTGAACCTGCCGGAAAATAAGCAGTGAGTTTCCATAATCATATCAGCATTACAATGCTGATTATATCTGATTACATTACAAGTATTAAAAAAATTCACAGCAAGTTTACATACATATATGCTTGCATATTTTAAATCAAAGTGTGCAGTATTTTGTTGGTTGTGAGCCTGATATTTAATAATGTGTAGAAGAGTACCATGAAAAGAATGGTTCAATGATGGTGCAAAGTGAATGAGACCAGGTATATGTGTGAGGTTAGCCATTCCTGGATTTTTTCTTGTATGGTTAACTGCATTAAATCTATTTTAAGATTGCACTATATTTTTAATTTTTCCTATATGAAGATAAAATTAATTCACTAGTGCAGACAGAAGATAATCTAAGGCCATGATGGCAAATCTATGGCACGCGGTGGCACGCAGAGCCCTCTCTGTGGGCATGCACGTCGTCACCAGCTGCTCTTCTGGTTTCCCGTGCGCTGGCCAGCTGATCTTTGAGTGCGCTGGGGCGCCAGAAACCCGAACACCAACTGGACAACGCACATCTGTGTGCCACAAACCCAAAGACCAGTTAGCCCATGCGGAGCTCCGGTTTGGGCACTTGGTGCCAAAAAGTTTTGCTATCACTGATCTAAAAGGGGAAAAAGGTGATTCTGTGCAAATGTGATTCTGGCATTACAGGTTAGTCACCACTGTTTTAAATTACTAGTAACTGACTGACCAACCAACCACACGGTGGGATACCACTAGATTCTGTTTTAGGCCCAGTACTCTTCAATATCTTCATAAATGATTTAGGGGATAGAAGGGTAACTCATCAAATTTGCAAACGATAACAAGCTGTGGAAATAGCCTTCACTTTAGAAGATAGGCTCAAGATCCAGAAGGATCTTGACAACATTTGAACACTTGGAATACACTTAGAATTTAAGAAGCGACTAGACAGCCACTTGCCCAAAATGGTATAGAGTCTCCTGCTCGAGCTCGTATGTTCTATTGCATCCAGTTTTGATCACCACAACAAAAAATCTTGATTTTCTAGAACAGACTTGGGTATTTTACACCCTTCAGCGGTTCCTATATGGCCTGTGTCATCGTTGGGGTATCAGCATTGGGGGGTGGGGTGTTGGCAGAGTACAGAGGGTCAGCAGAGGGCAGAGTGCAACAATCCCAGCATCTCACATAGCCCCTTGAAAAAATTAATTACCCATCCTTGCTCTAGAAAAAGTGCAGAGATGAGCAACAAAGATGAATAGGAACTGGAGACTAAATCATATGAAGAACACTTGCAGGAATCTAGAATCTAGTAAGAATGAACAGATAAGGAAACTTAAGAATAGCTTTTACATGACAAAGGGCCTGAGGTGGCATTATATCTGGAATTATATCTGTCTAGTCCAGGGGTGTCAAACTCAATTTCATTGAGGGCCGCATCAGCATTATGGTTGCCCTCAAAGGGCAGTAGCTGGGTCGCCGTGACTAGGTGGGTGTGACTGGGTGGGTGTGGCCGGTTTGATGCCGCTCACTGAGCGTGGCTGACTCGGGATGCCTGGGTCGGGATGGAACAAGTCGCACTGCCTAACCTGACGAGGGGACAATTTGGTGCCCCACAAGCTCCTTGCCTCCCCAAACTGCTGGCTGCTCTGGTGACAGTGAAGGGCTGCCCCTGCTGCCTCAGCAACCCCCCCCACCACAGGCACATGCACAGGAGGTGGAGAGAGCATAGGGCCTAGCATTCCCAATGACCGTCTTGCCCCGCAGGCTGACCATATTCTGAGCACTTCCCTTTCACCAACCCCACGTTTGCCGTCTTCTATGCGCTTGGCATAGAAGGGGAGGGTTAGGGCCGAGGTGATGGTGGCCGGCCCGAGCACATGGGGGCTGGCATCCCGGGTGAAAGGGAAGTGCTCAGAATGTGGCCAGCCTGCGGGGCAAGACAGTCATTGGGAATGCTAGGCCCTACGCTCTCTCCACTCATGTGCATGTGCCCGGGGGAGGGGGAGGCTGAGGCAGCAGGGGCCAGCCCCTCTATGTCTGCAGGGCAGTCCTGTGGGTCACATCCAGGGTGGGAAAAAAAATCAATGATTTTTTTAAAAAAAATCAAAAAAATCAGATTTTTTTGATTTAAATCGGATTTTTTTTATTTAAATCGAATTTATTTTAATAAAAAACTTTTGGGGTAAAAATCTATCGTAAGATAGTTTTCTATTTAAGATACATAAATAATTTAGTTTATTCAGCATGAAATGGAGCTTAGTTATGTAGCATGAGGCTGCATATTCTGCAACACTGGGACTTTCGGTGAGTCAACAGTGGGTCAAAGGAGTAGCAGAGATGACAGTTGCTCTTTAAAAATTATGATATAAATCGAGTTGATTTAAATCAAGCCTTTTTACTAGTGATTTAAATCAAGATTTAAATTGTGATTTAAATCAACCTCGATTTAAATCAAATCCACCCTGGTCACATCTAAGCACATCACAGGCTGGATCTGGTCTGCGGGCCTTGTATTTGACATGTCCGGTCTAGTCTAACAAAAAGAAGGAGTGGGGTGACCTGATAGTCGTCTTTCAATATTTGAGGGGCTGTCACAGAGAATAGAGGGTTGACCTCCAAAACACCTGTGGGTAGGAGAAAAAGTAATAGATGGAAGTTTATCAGAGATATCCAAGTATTAATTAATTAACAATTAAGGAGAAATTTGCTGTCAGAACAATTAATTAGTGGAATGGCTTACCTCCAGAAGAAGAGATTGGACAACAATTTGCCCAAATTATATAGGGTCTCCTGACTGAGCAGAAGGTTGTACTAGAAGACCTCCAAGCTCCCTTCAAACCCTATTATTCTGTATAGGTAGTCCTCAATTTATGACCACAATTGAGCTCAAAATTTCTGTTGCTAAGGAAGACAATTGTAAAATTGCCCAATTTTACAATCTTTCTTGCCACAGTTGTTAAAAGTGAATAACTGCAGTTAGCAGCACAGTTGTAAAGTGAATCTGGCTTCCCTATTGACTTTGCTTGTCATAAAGTTGCAAAAGGTGATCACATGAACTTGGGACACTGCAACTATCATAAATATGAACCAGTTGCTAATTTTGATCACATGACCATGGGAATGCTGCAATGGTCATAAGTGTGAAAAACAGTCATAAGTCACTTTTTTCAGTGCCATTATAACTTCGAATGAACTGCTATAAGTTGAGGATTACCTGTATTTCTGTACTTTTATATTTTGTGATGCATAAAATTAACTCTCAGATAATTTTTCAAAGCTTGCACACATTCCCTTTCCACTCCCCAAAATGCCTATGAACCTAGGCTTAGCTTGAATCTTGAAATACGCAGATTTATATGCAGTTCATAAAGCCCTACCTTTTGCTTTTAGAGAAGACACAGAAAGTTTCTCTCCTTCAGGCTTCATTATAGGGGGCCTATTATGAACAAGTTTCCACCATCCTGGTTCTCCGAATTCCTGAGCCCCTGAGCGAAAATACAGAGGGCTTCCCACAGAAAGGCAACCAGCAACAGTGCTCCACCATGTAGATGTCTTCTTTCTAAATAATTAGATGGGAATAAGGAATTTAGCATTATGATTTTTAGATAACACCTTTAACATTTATACCAACATCTAATAACATGAAGCTCTATAAACTACAGGCATTACTCAATATCCTTGTTTAATGACCACTCAGTCAACGACCATTCAAAGTCATGACGGTACTGAACAAGTGGTATAGACAACCGGGCCTCCAAGTTCCAATTGGCCCAGGATCCCCGTAGTCACATGACTGCAATCTGGGTGCTTGGCAACTATTTGCAACCTTTCCTGCTGGCTTCCCACACAGTCAAGGAAGTTTGAAAGGAAGTTTGCAAGTTGCTTTTGTGAGCTGTTTGCACCCTTGCAGCTCTTTCTCCTGAGGAGTTTGACTATAGTGTGTACAAGATCCCAGGGAATCATTCCCAGGGATTTTACTCCACAGTACATGTGCCCATAGAATCCCCGTCTAGTGGCAGCCACCTGCACATCCTCACCTGGTAGCAACTACCCCCGGCCCCGATCATACATCGCAATGCAGTAGTCACTTACCTATCCACTAGATGCCTATGGGCTGCCTTGGACTTGCAACTTCCTGCCAGTTTCCCCACTGATTTTGCTTATTGGCAGCCAGCAAAAAATTGTCAGCATTTCTTGCTTAATGATAGCAATAGGGACTGCAGGGTTTGCCATTACTAAGCAATGCAGTCATGTGAGATCACACTTTATGATTGCAGTGATTAGCAATAGAAATTCCAATCCCAAAAACAATCATTAACTAATTGTAATAGCTATTTCTGTTGTCCTCCAGTTCATAAGTACCTTCAGATCAAAATTAGCATGTGAAGTTAACTTCTATTGTAAAATATAGTATTTTTAACATCTCAATTAGATGAACTCACTGATTTCTGCTTTAAAAGACACACAGGAATCCAAAAGATAGTAAAAATGTTTTCCTGAATTCTCTAATTTTAAATCTATTAAAATGTGACATATACATATTAAAATGGATGCCCAGTTCCTTTATTTCTGATTCTACAGTATGTGCTTTTGAATATTAAGTGAAACATTACATGACTGCCACAAAGCTATTTTTGCAGGTTTGTGTAAATCACCCAGTTTTTAAACAAGACATCACATGAAATAAAATTTTATTGCTCCACTTTGCTTATTGTCAGTTGGCTGAGAAGAGTGCAAATGGCAACCATGTGACCATGGGACACTGTGACCATCATAAATACAAGGACTAGTTGTAAAGTTACTTTTTCAATGCTTTAGTAACTTTGAATGATCTTTAAACAGGGTAGATGTTTTATTTAGATAATTTGTTTTATTTTAACAACTACTCTTAAATTATTATTATTCTAGGCTTATTAAAATTATTAAATTATCTAGAAGGAATTCTGGAACATTTCTAGTTGCTGATCCATATCTAGACATCAAAACATATTTTACCTCAACATACTGCTATTCCACACTTTTGATCAGTGGCACTTGTATTACAATTCTTCAAATAATAAAAAATCATCATTTAATATCTTAAATAGACAGAAAAGTGAACATCATACTCCACACAGATTCTCCAACCAAACTTTTAAAAAACTTTATTCAATAATGGAATGTGGCCTTGTGGTTTTTAAAATACAGTACAGTATAAACTCATTTAGTTTAATTGACTAATTGGGACACAGGTGTCAATTATTAACAAACTGGTTAAATTGGAGAGTAATCCTGTGACAATTTGCATAAATACAATTTCCTGTTGCAGACTATTGATCCATTTCATACTAAGTCCGCTGAATTAAGATCCAATACATTAAGATTTCATGTACCATATATTTAAGAAAGTTACAATAACTGAAAGTATAAGCAAGCTGTAAGCAAGCAATTTATAAGTATGAAAATTTATTTATTTATTTATTTATTACATGTATTTATATGCCACCACTCTCCCGAAGGACTCAGGGCGGCGAACACAAGTTAAGAAACAAGTACAATAAAATCATAATTTAATCCAAATAATTAATTAGTTGTAAATAATAAAGCCCGGAATCAGTCTCAGCCTATTTGTTTGAAAATAGGGTTTGGGGGATAACCCACAGGGGTTGGGGGGAGCTGGGGGGGCTAGTTCCTATATTGGGGAGGGCGTTGCCATCAACATCATGGGTGGGAGGGGCAGATATGGCGGGAGCAGGGGGCCATATCGTGTTAGGGGAGGACGCACTCGCTATCTGCGAGCGTTTGCGTGCTCCGGCCCTCAATGCTTGTCTCGCACCCCGGGTTGTTCAGATCCTCAGGCCCTGGGCCTTCGGTTGATGTTGTGCAATGCCAGGTCTGTGGTAAATAAAGCCCTCCTCATTTGTGATCTGGTTCAGGAGGGGGGTGCGGACCTGGTAGGTATTACAGAGACCTGGTTGGGCCAGGAGGGGGAGGGTGTTGGATCCTTATCCTACGGTTGGGTAGATAATATGTACTGTAACTTTAACTGCTACAAGATGACTAATTGATTAAGTGGTTAAAACAGAAATAAAAGGAAGGCAGGAAGTTCATTCACTCCTTCTCACTCCTGCTCGTGATATTACTGCTAGAGATACTGTGACGGTGTTACGGAACTAGAACTGTAAGCAAACTTTGTTTTGTATTGAAAGTGTTCTCTTTGTTTATGAGAAGCCAAGTTTGTTTGTTTTACAAGTAAAGACTATTTATTTTTCTAACGACGTTCAGAGTCTGAGAGTATCTGTGTTGCAACGCTGTCTGGTCCGTCGCTCTACTCTGCAGAGGGCAGTTTACCCTCAACACGGGGTCCCCCTCATTGAGATGTGCCCTCCGGGTTTCTATGCATTCCATCAACCGAGGTCCCAGGGGAGAGGTGGGGGGGTGGCGGTTCTCGTAAAGGAAGGTCTCGCCCCAAGGGAGGCCACTGTACCTCAGATAGCCAGATGTGAGTCCCTCCTTGTGAAATGGGGACAAGGGAGGTAGATGGGCTTGCTGATTACGTACCTGGCTCCCTGCCACGTGTCAGCGGCCCTGCCCGAGCTCCTCAACGTGATTGCCGAGGTGGCGGTGGAGACCCCCAGTCTTATGATGATGGGGGACTTTAACCTGCCGTCTGTCGGCGAAGCGTCTGAGGCGGCTCGGGAGTTCATGGCTTCCATGATGGCCATGGACCTGACCCAATTAATTTGTGGACCCAGGCACACGGGAGGACACACTCTGGATCTGATTTTTGTCTCTGGGCAGTGGATGAATGATCTCGAGATAGGGGAGATAGTAATTGAGCCCTTGTCATGGTCGGATCATTCCCTTCTTAGGCTTGACTTTCTAACAGCCACACCCTGCCACAGGGAGGCAGAACAGACCAGATGGTTCCGCCCCAGGCGCCTGATGGATCCTGATAGGTTCCAGATGGAGCTTGGGCCATTACCTGAGGCTCTGACTCATGGCTCGGCTGAGGAGCTGGTGGCCGCCTGGGATAGGGCGGCCGCTGACGCTTTGGATCAAGTCGTGCCTGTGCGGCCTCTGACCTGTCGCCGAGTCTACCTGGCTCCTTGGTTTTCCGAGGAGCTGAGGGGGATGAAGCGCCAGAAAAGACGCCTAGAGAGCAGTTGGAGATCTAGTCACTCCGAATCTGACCGAACACTGGTAAGATCTCATATTAAGACTTACCTAGTGGTGATAAAAGCGGCAAAATGTAACTATTTTTCTGCTCTTATCGCATCGGCAGATAATTGCCCGGCCACCCTGTTTAGGGTGACCCGTTTCCTCCTCCATCTGGGAGCGCGGGAGGATCCCTTGCAGAGTCGTGCCGAGGATTTTGTTCAGTATCTGCACGATAAAATCACTCAGATTCGGGAAGGCTTGGTCTCTGACTGGGTAGGTACAGACAGGATGGTGGGTGCCGGTCTTAAGACTGCCATTTGGGAGGAGTTCGACCCTGTTGCTCCCGAGGACATGGACAGGATACTGGGGCGGCTGAACGCGACATGTTTATTGGACCCATTTCCCTCCTGGTTGGTGCTGGCCTCCCGGGAGGTTATGCGAGGCTGGCTCCAGGGGATTATCAACGCTTCCTTGAGTGAGGGTGTTTTGCCATCCGCCTTGAAAGAGGCGGTGGTGAGGCCCCTCCTCAAGAAGCCTGCTCTGGATCCGGCTGTTTTGGCTAACTATCGTCCAGTCTCCAACCTTCCCTTCTTGGCGAAGGTTGTTAAGAGTGTGGTGGCGCGACAGCTTCCTGGGTACCTGGATGAAGCTGTCTATCTGGATCCGCTCCAGTCCGGCTTCAGGCCTGGGCACAGCACAGAAACGGCATTGGTCGCGTTGGTGGATGATCTCTGGAGGGCTCGGGATAGGGGTTGTTCCTCTGTCCTGGTCCTGTTAGATCTCTCAGCGGCTTTTGATACCATTGACCATGGTATCCTGCTGCGCCGGTTGGAGGGGTTGGGAGTGGGGGGCACCATTCTGCGATGGTTCTCCTCCTATCTCTCTGACCGGTCGCAGTTGGTGTTGGCAGGGGGGCAGCGGTCGACCCCGAGGCGCCTTGTTTGTGGGGTGCCTCAGGGGTCGGTCCTCTCGCCCCTTCTGTTCAACATTTATGTGAAACCGCTGGGTGAGATCATCCGTGGCTTTGGGGTGGAGTTCCATCAGTACGCTGATGATACGCAGCTGTACATCTCCACCCCAGGCCATCCCAACGATGCCCTTGAAGTGATGTCCCAGTGCCTGGAGGCCGTGCGGATCTGGATGGGGAGTAACAGGCTCTGACTCAACCCTTCCAAGACCGAGTGGCTGTGGCTTCCGGCGTCCCGATATAGCCAGCTGATGCCATGGCTGGCTATTGGGGGCGAGTTATTGGCCCCCACGGATAAGGCTCGCAACTTGGGTGTCCTCCTGGATGCACGGCTGTCTTTAGAAGAGCAGATTCGTCAGTTGCGTCCCTTTCTGGATCAGGATTCCTTACGCACAGGCACTCAGACGCTCGTCACTTCCTGCCTGGACTATTGCAATGCTCTCTACATGGGG